CTTGGAGACCGCGATGCGACTGCACGCGGCTACTTCCCCATTACCCCATGGGTTGCTATGATGAATGAATTTGTTTCTGCTGAAATGGGCAGATGTAAATGTACGATGCATACTTCATACCTTTGCATACTGTACGTAAGCACGATTAAGTCGATCTATTGGATTTTTCAGCCGTGACTTTGGTATGAGCTCGAATTGGACTTTTGGAAGGCCATTGTCCTAAAATGGTATTGAATTCGGTCGGAAGACGCGATTTGCTTGGGAAATTTTTGTCTTTTCAACTACTGTCCCTATGGATGTTGAGGCACATGGTACTCCGTTGAGACGGGACTGATGAGCAGAGTTAAGTGCGGCATGAGAAACCAAAGGAGAAGTTCACTGATGCATTTGCAGGGCGACCATCCACTTGCTTGAGAGACCACTTATTATAAGTGAGGCAGCTTCTGCTCCCAAGTACCCCAGTATCAAATATTTCCATGCCTTCGTGATGACCCTTTCATTCTGAACTATATACAACAGGGCCGTAAGAAACTATTTGAATTGAGCTTTTTTCGATTCGGCTTTGCCGTGGCTAGAAGAACTCGATTTTGATTGTCAAAACAGCACCTCTCTGTCCAATGTGATCTTCAGCTCCAATTCGGTACTGCCGGAACTGTTCACAATTCCCAAAACATTCTCGATCAGCTGAAAAAAAAGCGTCAAGAGGTGTGGAGCTTTATTCCTGTGGACACAACCATGGCAAACCTGATTAACGAATTCCATCTCGAGATCGCCTTTGCGATTTTCGGCCATGTAAGGACCACCAGGTTGTATTCGCTCACAAAACAGAGCGTCTGTTATTGGAAGAGCCTTTGGTGGGTCTTCAATATTCGCTTTTACTTTTTTGGCAGTTATTGGCTTTTCTGGTTGTAAGTTACTCGGCTGAAATCAGAAAATCCGTTACTGAAATCGGTCTACGGATATCCATATTCAAAGACCGCATTACTAGGAATATCAGTACTTAGTTTTTTTTGGTCACTATGATTACTTGACTCTATGTCCTGTCAAATGCGCACGGAGTACAAAAGATTATTCTCGACATATTTCGTTATTCCAAGCGATGTGCGGAAAATTGAACGACCACAACTCTGGAATCGTGCAGGAGGAAACGGGTGGTTGGGCGTATTTAAAAAAATCGAGGAGGTAGTGAAGAAAACCGAGAATGTCTGGCCGTACCTTTCAGACGCTGCTGCCTTTCTGCTTTGCCCTCTGCCTCAGAGACTTGGTCTCTGCGTAAGCAGGACGAGTATGCAATCAGCGTTACTCAACGAGCTGTGGAAAGAACCACGTTCGGAACTACTCGATACGAGCAAGTACAGAGAGTAATCTAAATTCCCAGCTCCACAAACTCGATCAAGGAAGCCGTCAGTTCGACACGATAGGACGACAGTGAGTGTTCATTTCAACTTTTCCCTTTTACAGCACTTTCTTTGGATCACATAAGGTTGTAGACTTTTGGTTTGCTGGACTGGACCAACCAGGAGGATCGCGAGATGCTCTACGCCCATCGCGATAATTGGCTAAGTGGATGAGTTCTGCCGATAGGGAGGAAATGAGCAGGTACTTCCCGCCTTCAGGCCGCTATGGGATATGCTTTCAAACATCCTCCGTCCATCCACCCATCCATCGTTGTCGTGCAATTTGATCCATAGCTTTAGAACTGGTAACTGCTATAGATGCCACTACCTACTGGTAAATAGTGTTGAAGATTTTGATATTGCTTTTTCAAAAATCCTTCCTCAAAAGCCTCACCTTTTGTTTCTTTTTCAAATTCTCTAATGGTGTTGGGTCAATGTCCGATACAGAATCCAATGATATGGTCCCTTGGGTCTGAAATGAGGCCAAACTGCATTATTTGTTTACATGCTTATTTGCAATACAAAGTCTCCAACTTTCATTACAAAAACACCATGAAAATCGGTATCACGACAAAACCACACCTGAGTGTAAACTGAGAGGACATCATTTTCAAAATTAATAGGAGGCTCCGCAGGGAGTATTTCCACTTTTAAATGCTGAAAACGAATGCTCCTTTCATCATACATTGCAGATATTACCATTAAATAGACCAAGGAATTTATTTTCGTACCCATGTAAGGGCGTAGTGGCGTATGGTGGTGTAGCGGCAAGTGGCGCACGGTACACACGCATGGCTAGGGGTTCGATTCCTGGGTCGATATCTGCCTAGGCCAACCAAGCCTTCCACTTCCCGGGGTCGCTTAATTGGTAACAGGCTCGTCTGGGAGGATGAGAGCTCTGACTTGTACATCGGCTGGCCATCGCAAATCATTGTATAGGCCACATACGCACTC